TTTCTTACGAAAGCCTTGTCCACAATCCTGTAATCATATCCTCAATCCTGTAACACGCATCTTCATTCAAACAATCTACACGCAATACATTTCAATACACGCCCAGATGGGTTTCAGTCGAACTCTCGATTTCAACACTGCCGCATATATCCGTATATCCTACCAGAGATTCCATTATTGGTCTGGCAATATGAAACAAATACGAACACGCGGAAGAAGGAAAGGTAGGAGAGGGCATGCCCAGCCGGCGCGCTACTTGAAAAGTGTGGACGAAATGACATCATGGCGGCCATACTCACTGGGCACAATGGCGGCGTTGCTATGGTTACGTGTTGCGCAGTGATGCTGGTCTAGCAGTGAGCGGCCGCGGCTGGCGGCGGCATGTGTGCCTCCCCGGGTCTCGTGCTGAGCCGTGGCGGACAACATCCGTGCTCTGCGCCGCGTTATTTGTTACGCAGTGTTCTCCTGGTAGTTACTGCACTCTTAGCAACGTTTACAAATCCTTTTGTCTATCACGGAGTTTCAACAGTGCATAGAACGAGTGCATATCCATGTGTCGTGCGGAAGATGACGTGGATGAAGCAATTTGTGTTCAGCGAAATTGCGTTGGGCACCATGACTAAGCGGAACGACGACGAACGCTTTGCAGGTCAGTGACGGTTGGGCAGTGCTCCTGCTTGTGACAACGGACGGAGCTGTTGAGCCCAGCAAGACGCAGTGAGGACCATGTGCACATGCGTAGTTTCGTGTTGTGTGTTTACAGTAACAACTTGCATGTGCGTAATAAAACACCTTTTCTGTTCCGCTTCGTATACTCTTCCCAAGCATTGCTTGTAATCTCAACGTAACAGTAACCGCGTTCAAGTGTCACTTGCACATTGCTCAAAGTCACCAAGGTCGCAGAATGCTGACGCCTGGGAGTTTCACGCGGAACACGAACACAGTGGCCGTACGCTGCGTCGGCCGCGTAGCGGAATGCAACCGTAGAAGGCGCACGACCGATCGTGTTGTCTGTACAGTTGCTGAATTAATGACGTGACAACACTCGCTGTTGTCAGTGCATATAGTGCGCGTTCTCTTGTACTTGGTTCGTTGTCGGTGAGCTGTTTTCACTGTTAATACTCGGACGAAAGGATTTCACCGAAGGTGTCGCGCTGGCCCATAGTGTTGAGCCCCGTTCCATTAGTTTCGGATCGTCACGACACGCGCGCTGCGCAGCTCATGTGCTTTCCTAGCTGGAGAGAGTCATGCCTTCTGCTTTGCATTTGGATGTAAACAAGAGAGGAGAATTTGCCCAGTCAATATGGCCGACTTCCGGCTTCATCGCGGCTTCACAACGAGTGACGTCAGGGCCTCTCGTACCTTTCCTTCCTCCGTGTCTGGGTAGCTTATCGGCGTGAAGTGCAGCATGTTGCATTTCGCGCCGGTTGCCGTCGGGCTGTGTCGATGGATACTGGTCACGCCTGGCGTCAGACTGTAGAGTGCTCGCCTTTTGCTAACGTAGCGTCGCTGTGCCCAGCGCGCGCGCGCGTCAACGCTACATTGGAGTATATTGGGCCCTTCATGATGTGCCAGCGGCCGTCTTGCTAGCTTCACATATACCAAATTTGGTGTTACGTGACGTCAATGGACAACGAAATATATGACTGGTGAAAACATGATAATCCTGACACGCTTGTCATCTAAGAACATGACAACAAACCACGCTTATAGACTGCTCGCGGTCGTTTCGCCAGCTCCACATATACTAAATTTGGTATCACGTAACGTGAGTAGATGACGAAGGTAAACGACATATCTATACATCATAATCATGACACGGAAGTCATGTACGGCATCATTTGCTTCCACCTCGTAACGTTGTGCTGATTAAAAAAAAATACTATATTTTTTTTATTCGTGCTTCGCATGTCATGGATTGCCAATTTTTTTATGTTATGACTATTCAAATATGTTCTTTATACAGTCATGTTATGCCATACCAAGTTTGGTATTGATACCATTATCGAAACGGCCAGGACAGCTAAAAGTCGTAGGCGGCTAGATAGATAGATAGATAGATAGATAGATAGATAGATAGATAGATAGATAGATAGATACGCTCAAAGTCGCCAAAGTTCGCTAAGAAATGCTTCGCATTAAACAAATGCGGTTGACTTGGATCACGTGACCATTTCTTCAGTACATTCCCAATTAATTAAGGTGAAAATTAACTTCCAGCCTGTACCGATTCTCTGCTCACGTTCGTGATATTTTTGTGCGATCAGGAATGCATACTTTGCGGAAATCGTCGCGCTTCTTAATCTGCGCGCTGTTAGAATTGTACGCAGACGGTAAATGCGAGGTAGTCGCTATGCGATTCTCGAGAGAAGGTAGCTTTGCCACGCGACAAATCGATGCACTACGTAGCTCATTGCGGGCGGCTGTTGACCCGGACTTGAGAGAGCGTGTCGTAAAGATAACGTATCGACAATAAGGAAAGACCCTGCGTCGCGATGTCACGCCAGCACGTCTGCCGCACGTCCCCTGCCCTAGCTGCTGATAAGATATCTACGTGAACAGACTGGGCGCGCGACCTTGGGACGCCAGATCTATCTCGATGGAGCCGGCGGCGTTCTGTGCCGGTTTTTTGTTTGACGTGCTTTCTTTCTTGATTGTGCATTTCGCGCTGGAACACTCGTGTGCATCTATTTCTCACTGTGCAACATGTATTTGAGGCTTCTGCTGGTGGACCGCGTCAGTTTTCTGGACTCAGAAATCGTGAGAACGTAATGCATTCGTGACGTCACATACAAGAATTCGGATCACCTATCCACATACCCTTTTTTGCTATTAGTGGAAGTATGCGGGGTGTTTTTAGGGGCGAAGCTCCTTAAGCCGTGACTCGTACGTCCGTGATGCATGTATGTATAGTAGTAGTAGTAGTAGGTTGATTGACTGATTGATTGATTGATGTGTGGGGTTTAACGTCCCAAAACCACCATGCGGGATCCGATCCCGCGACCTGCGGGTCAGCAGCCGAGTACCTTAGCCCCTAGACCACCACGGCGGGGCGTAGAAGTAGGTAGCCACCTCTCGTTGAGTCCTTGGAATGCCCGCTGGATGACTCTACTTCTATATGATGAATACATGATAAAAATATGTGAGATGGCCGTACTTGGAGTACTCACTATATGGGTGAATGGACGGCCGGCCACACGGACGGACGGACGGAAGGAACGAACGGACGGACGGTAGCGTGGACGGACTGAGGGACGCTTCGCCCCACTCATCATCATTCACTCCGTGGATATGCTGTGATTTTTTATTGTAACCGGTTTTTCTGGTGCGGCACATTTTTTATGCAGCATATAAATCTTATCAATTAGATCAAGTCAATCTATAGTACCGGTGTGATAGGGTCTTATATATATAGTCGGCAAAAAAAAAAAGTACAGCTTACTCAAGGAATAAATTTTACCCTTAGGGATCACTCAGACTCGGACTCACCAAAGTATTCTTCATTCGGACTCAAAGACAGACAGATGAATTTTATTGAGGTCCTGAGAAGCGACTAGAAAAGTCCCTTTAATGATCAGGAGACCCCGCGGGCAGCTCCCACGTCGGAACGGCCAGGTGGTGCCTGACCGCAGCGTCGTGGGCCCTCTAGACTGGCCCGGCCCGTAATTGAGTGGTGAGGTCGGAGCTCTTGAGCGCCTCCCCTCACTCTGCTTCTGCGGTGAGACGATCGTTGCGACGTAACGAGGGACACCGCCAGAGCATGTGTGTTCTAAAGTTCAGTAGGGATCTCCACAATCTGGGCAATTGGACTCGTACGAGTCCGCGAACCTGCTGGCCCTGGCTAAGCTGGGGTAGGACCCAGTCTGTAACATTCGAAGGGTAGACAGTCAACAAAGGATTGTTCACCCTTACTTACACGTACTCAGACTAACGGCTCGATCTGAGTCCAGGTGAGTCACGAGTGAATCGACTTATGAGTGAGCGTGCCTATCTATATGCACCCGGCGCACTGCCTATCACGATTAAGCCTGATAGGGATCGAAATTCGAGATAAAGTTCCGAGAGAGTGAGAGAGTGATCGACTTTCTTTTGAAGTGTGCGTAATAATGGCACGTATCAGGATAGAGAAGTGTGCGAAGTTCGCTCTGGATCAAGTCCGATCGTGATCAAAGCTTACCGGGTAACACCGATTGATTTGATTGATTGATTGATATGTGGGGTTTAACGTCCCAAAACCACCATTTGATTATGAGAGACGCCGTAGTGAAGGGCTCCGGAAATTTCGACCACCTGGGGTTCTTTAACGTGCACCCAAATCTGAGCACACGGGCATACAACATTTCCGCCTCCATCGCAAATGCAGCCGCCCCAGCCGGGATTTGATCCCGCGACCTGCGGGTCAGCAACCTTAGCCACTAGACCACCGCGGCGGGGCACCGGGTGACACCGGTACGAAAGATATGTTGACATATATTGAATAAACCACATTCTCAGAAATACGATTTAGCGGTTTGACGACAGTTAATTCTTCACTGTCAGATTGGGATATGCATATTATTCAGGAAGCGGAGACAAATTAACGGCAATTCCATTCCACGTAGAGTCCAACTTAAAATCATAAGGATACTACACATTCGTTCCCGTTGCGTAAAACACTATTATTGTTATAAAAAAAAATGATTCGACACGAGGCACCGGTGGGATTCGAACCCACGATCTCCTGTTTACTAGACAGGCGCTTTAACCAACTAAGCCACGGCGCCGCGCTGCTGTTGAGTGTGATTTTGCACTATATAATGCATGGGGTTCAATTGCTCAAACAGTTTCATTTTTGTTTTTTTTTGTTTAATTGCAGTCTGGACATTGTAAACGGCACAAAGCATGTCATCAAAGCGCAGTTCGACCTTCCGTGGCGCGTAACACTGCATGGCATTCACGAAATGGCGCGCCTCGCTTCGAAACTGTCCTGTAACGCTCTGGGTAGGTCCGTTATCACCTGATTATCTTGCAAAAGCGTCATGCCACACGCACCCTCCTCGCCGCTCGCTCTCGCAAAGTTTTTCGCCGTCCGCAGATCTCGTGTCACCGGCTAGGCGGGATCACTTTTCCTCCTGGAGGACGAGCGAGCACGATGGCATCGACTGGGGAACTGGGTACGCACATTCTCATTTCGTCCTTCCGAGTAGTACAACAGGTGGGCGTGGTGGTAACTTTGGCACGCTGTACACGGTTGTCGCACGCTTTAGCAGGCGCACATCTGCAAGCGTACTAAAAACGGCAGCGGGCACAGTATTTCTCAAACGAAGGTGTTTACAAGAGCACCCTCACGACACACCCATTTCGTTCGACGTTATTTCTCTAGCAATCCAAAGTCGGCGCGTTCGATTTCAGCACACGTCTGCGGCGTTACCGATTATGACTCTCAAACTAGCGTACTTAAAATTTCCCGCGATTTCGCTTCCTAAATTCTCGAGTTTTATACTTGAGCGCGCGCTCCACGAAGTGAGTAGTCTTAATGTGTGCGGCATTTGTTTTGTTGTTAGCGAACGCGAGAGCGAAAACGGAAGATCGCGCGAGCTCGCGCTTTTTCGCGCGCAAATTGACCGCGTGCATGCGCTTGTTTTTTTGTTTTTTTTTTTTCGCTCCCACGATTGCCAATAACACGTACGTGTGTAGTTCGGCCATTTATGCATTGCGATTAAGAACGCTGCAGTGTTTTGCATTCGCCAATACATGTTTGTTAGTCGGCAGCGGACGTCCGCGGAAAAATATATGATAGCGCCACTCGTTTATCGTCCCACGAGTGCGCGCGAGAAGGCGCGAGAATGACCTTGAGTACGCGCTGGGTGACCGCTTCGTACTTGTGTTGCCTCTGGGCAAGAATTCGAGTTTCATGCGCTGTAGGAATTAATTCGTCTCCTTGCGCAGTACGCCAGCGCGAGAAAAGCTGGCAGCCAACTCGGAAAATCTGGAGATGAGGGATTCGTGCATTCTTTCTTAATTTTTTTTTTCAGTCAGAAAAACCGTGCGACCACTGCCGTCACTATACATTTAAGCTGCGTGATTTATCTTCATAAAACGAGTCGATTTTGTCCTAGCACTGGAGTCTCAATGATCAAATGCACACATACAAGGAAATAAGTCACTGTGATCAGATCACAATTCTTAATTTTGTTTCGTGGATGTTCACGTGAAGCATTTCTTCACCCACAAACGAAGTATATATGATGCCAGCAAACACTCCCAGCTAGCTTCTTTGCTTTGTCACATCATACTATTCCTAAAACCCAATTGATTTGAAAATCTCTACGTCATGTCGTCGTTTGGCTGTACCGACTATACGCTTTTATGGCTCATTCTTCCAAGTGTAGTTTCTAATTCCTATCATTTGATATGAAAACTATATGTCTGTCATTTCCTCTTGAAAAACTTCGACTACTTTGTCTTTCACCTTGTTACGTTAGTATGACTGTTGTCTCTTCTTATGCCAGTTTGCGAGTTGGTCATTTCCTTTCTGCTGAAGTCGATATATTGTTTGTTGCTGTACAGACTATGTTGCTGTTTTACCTCCGAATCGATGCTACAATGCCCGAAACTTTCAACATTTTCCATGGATATCATTGCACAGGAATCCTAGGAGGCTATTCAGGCGTGTTCATTTCAGTCACTTGCGTATTCAGAATAGTGGCCTTCTGTTGCAAAAGCACATTCAAAGGCACACAGCAGTACATTTACAGATTTGTCTCCATATATCACCTACATTTGCCTCATGCTTGCATTGAACTACTGCAGCAAGTCTTTCACATTCCTTTAAAATCTAGCACGGATCCTGTACTGATTTGTGCTCCTTGGTGGTACCCTGGTTATCGTGCTTGACTGCTGAATTCTATTTTAGCCACACCGATCACACTTAGATGAAGTCAAGATGCTAAAGGCCCGCCCCGGCGTAGTGGTCTAGTGGCTAAGGTATTCGGCTGCTGACCCGCAGGTCGTGGGATCGAATCCCGGCTGCGGCGGCTGCATTTCCGATGGAGGTGGAAATGTTGTAGGCCCGTGTCCTCAGATTTGGGTGCACATTAGAGAACCCCGGGTGGTCAAAATTTCGGAGCCCTCCACTACGGCGTCTCTTATAATAATGTGGTGGTTTTGGGACGTTAAACCCCACATACCAACCAATGCTAAAGGCCCATTTACTGTGCGATGACGGGGCATGTGAAAGAACACCAGATAGTCACAAATTTCCGGAGCCCTTCACTAGTACAGTGTGCGTCATAATCATATCGGGGTTTTGGCATTTAAAGCTTTTGATATTGCTACAAATCCTGCTTATAAAGTTTCATTATAAATGTAGAAGGTTGTATTGTGTGTCAACCGGTTCGTTTATTGAAACATTATTTTACAAATTTCGGTAGCTTGAAACTCCTTCAAAAAGATCAGCTCCATGGTGTATGTGCACTTTTTTGTCTCTCCATTTTCACTGTCTTAATTTCAACTTGTGCTGTTGAAGTGCTTCTGTAGTGCTTCCTTGCCACCATTCAAGATTATATGAAGGAAATTGAAGGTACTATTGCACCTATAGTTGTTCTCAAATGGCTTCATGTTATTTATTTATATTTTTTTGCCCAAGCTTTCAATGCCTCCACATAGGTCCACTATCATAGGCTTCATTGGTAATAAACAGCAAGAAAAATGATGAGATTGAGACTGAAGGAAGTATACAGGAAAGAGTTCTGATTCCAAGTGTTTCTTTCTGTCTTCTCGTTTTTATGTTGTTTTGCATCCATGAAGCCTTACCAACAAGCTTGCATTCATACGCTTCTACTTATCTATAGGGAACACTTAAAAATCTATACCACCATGCACTACTTCAGCAGTTGCCTAATGCCTGTATAAAGGTTGTTTAAGTGTTTTGACTTCTAAGCAGGCATAAAGTACTGAAAAAGGTAATGGAGAATCCCCCGGAATTTTTTTCTTAACTCTGGTATCTCACAGCAAATCTGTGGGTAAATCATTGCAAAAAGTATTGTCATTGTAAACGCTCTATGAGAGGCAGAAGTAGGCAACTTTCTGCAGCAGTGGGAAATGTGCTTAATTTTAGTGGAAGAAAATTTACACTTGTTGTGAAAGTTATGTGATAGCATGACTTAGTGAACATGGCTATTCGACATGTATATGCTAAGTCTGAAATCCAGCATGGAACAAAATATTATGTTATAGATTATTAAAGAGAAATCTCTGTTTCTGTTTACATTAGGGTATACTTCTTTCTGTGGCTTGTTTGCTGAGGATTACTTCTTTAGCAACAGCTTAAACCTGACCATAGATAGGCATGCAAGGGCTCCCCTCGAAGGGGGCAAAAGTTCATTGCAGCACCCCAACTCCCTACTATGTCACCTAATGTATGGGGCTGACTTTGATCCCCCCACCCCAAGTAGCAGTGCCCCTTCCCTATTATGTCAATGTATAGTGCTGACTTTGCGCCCCCCTTCTTCGGTGACCTGCACAGGTAGCTGCCCCCACCCATGCGCACACATGTAATCATGACGAACCGCTGACACAAGGAATCGAAAAAGAAGCTCGCATGCTTTAAACTTGCACAGCTTACTCACCATAAGTTAGCAGTTGTATCAGCACTTTCCATGGGCACAATATGACCATGCCTTGAAGAGTAAATTTTTGTTTCATCTTATTGCAATGAAAAATAATATACATGGAAGTGTACTGGGGATACAATCAAAAGCGAAAAGAAAGCAAGCAAACGAAGCTTTGTTTAATGCTTGAACACAAGCTGTGATATGGCTAATGGTCTTCGCATCCTGGAAGCATTGTTTTATTTTTAGAGGCAGCTCTTTCACAAAGCGGCCTATCTGTGCCCTGCGAGGAGTTATTGCAGACAATGTGTCCTTTCTATACAGCAGTGCGGCTGAGCAAACACCAGTTGTACTCTTTGTAAACCCTTTTATCTTTACTATAATCTGCTGAGCACCTTATGCACGTGTGAACAAAAGGGATGAGAGGGCATGCAGTGACTCCGAGATGTGTCAAGCTAAACAGATCTTCTCTCAACACGGCCATTCACATTGTCATAGCCTCTTCCTACTAGACATCGGGCATTTGTAATATATTTTAACAGCAAGCGTCTAAGTGTTGTGTGCATTTCAACTATTCTGAACATTCAAAGGCAGGCTACTTTCACCTGAACAAAGGGAGGACTATATGTTATTGGAAGGGAATGTCGTTGGCATGTATTAAAATAAAGTGTGATTTAGATATACTGCATATAAATATGCATAATTTTCTCTAAAAGCATTCAAGCATGTTGTGGCTTTACAAGTAGTTTGCTGAAAAACTTATTTAGGTTGAATATGCTTGTAAGGGCTCTGGAAAATTCCTTGAAAGAGGGGAAGGAGTGACAGCGAGCATGCTTTCGACTATAGATAGTTTACCGTATCAACCACTAATCAGTCATACTTTAATATGTCAGTGTCTGCTTTATACATATGAAAAAGCTCCAATTCTTTTGTGTGGAGTGGTGCTGTGCCATCATTGTAAAGTTATGTACATTATCATGTCGTACTAAGCCATCCTCCTTTTCGTAGGATGGTATCTGTCAGGATATGTGCCTCTACTGTTTCTCCTGTTCTAAAATCCAGTTAATAAATATTTTTATGGCAGCACAAACTTGCCTGGCCACTTCAGGTTCATTCTTTCTTGCTTTTTTTAATGAATAACTATTTTTCACTGAAACCTCCTCATTCGTACTTGCTTTTCAAATGTTCACCTGTAAAATAGTATGCAGTGGCTTGTGTGATATGTATGGCATTTAATAAGCATGTCTGGCAGCTGGGCAAGGCATAAATCGGCGAAGTCTTATTTTGGTTGTGGTTTTTGTGCAGCCATTTTGAGTGTGTCGAACAAGACAGGTCTTCTGGACCTAGCTCGCAAGCTGCAGCAGGCAGGCTTGCGCTTGGTGGCTTCAGGGGGCACGGCCAAGGCCATCCGGGACATTGGCCTCCCCGTCAGGTAAGCTGTGTTCACACCGTTGCATCTTGAATTCTTGTCTGAGACAATGTCTGAGCTCTGTTACTGAAGCCAAAGCATCGAACTCCTTATTTAGATGCTTTCAAGCAGACACATAAATTATTTTTCATCAGTGAATGTAGCCACTGAGGGGTATTTCAGATATATTTGTATCGAAGCTGTAAAACTTGGATTAGTTGTAAATGTTTGTTGTTTGTTCCTGAAGGCAGGATCAAAGCGGTGCCAAATTTGCTGTACTGCGCATGTAAGCACTGAACCAACTGTAATAAATAGCCACTGCCTATGGTTTAGTGGCTATTGCAACATTACGCTCAGTGCAACATTATGGTTTCAATTCTCAGAAACATGACTGCATTCGGATGGAAATAGAATTTGAAGAAAAAACAAAAGCTGTCGCATCTAGCCAACTAGCCCAACTTGCCTACCAGCCTTATTGTGGCATCTGTTATAACTCATATTTGGGTTTGAGATGTTACCTTGCCAGACAAATAAATCAATGAGTCAACCAGTTAATCGATTTCAGCGAAACAGCTACTACCATAAAATAAGTATGATTACTTTCGCACTTTTTTTTTTTAACTGCTTCATGTCTACAGCATCATTGATCTTTCAAACGGCAAGATAAACTCGCATAGTTCCTTTTTTTTTTTCACTGACGTTTGCAGAGATGTCTCTGAAGTGACGGGTGCTCCAGAGATGCTGGGTGGTCGAGTCAAGACACTGCACCCAGCTGTTCATGGAGGTGAGTTTGTCGCATTCATACTTATGTTCCAGGATGCAATTTTCATGCATGTCGGTGCTGTACCTCATGCTTTGCACCATCTCGTCTTGCACAGCATTAGTATTGAACTTCATTGACACAAGAGCATTAATTTGAAAGTCCCAAATTTCACTTTCGTCTGTCTTAGCACCGATTCAAGCTGTTACTGGCATTTAATTCACCTGCTTTGAGCAAAGTTATTCGATAATACGACTCTCCAAACTCCCCATAGGCTACGTGTATCGAAATTCCGGGCATGCCATTGGCCCAGATGTCGGGAGTGTGCAGATTGTTGCACCACCTGTTGATCAGCACACTAACTATTAAACATTATTTGTGTTTTGCGTTGCCGCTCCCAGATGGCGCGGCAATCTGCTAATTTCTGAAAAATTGGCCAATTGCGTGTACGGGCTTAGGAACGCTTTCGCAACTGGTACGATTGATTAACTGCTTTTGAGCACTTTCAGCGACTGCCTTCTAACGATCAGTCATATGTAGTAAATTTCTTTTTTAATTTATTGTCCTTGACCTTTTTGGTACTTGATCAGGTATCTTGGCACGAAAGATTGACAGTGACCTAGCTGACATGAAGAGGCAAAGCTTTGAGTATGTCAGGTAAGGTTTATGTTTGGCATTTTCACTTGAAATTTTTTAAGCTAATGCTCCTGCACATAATATATACATGCAAATATAGTATTTCCTTGACTGCAGATTTTGATGAATGCCCTAAGCCATTGCCACAATGACATTTTCAATGTAGGCCTGTGTGCTCAGATTTGGGTGCACGTTAAAGAACCCCAGGTGGTCGAAATTTCCGGAGCCCTCCACTACGGCGTCTCTCATAATCAAATAGTGGTTTTGGGATGTTAAACCTCACAAATCAATCAATGACATTTTCAAAGCGAGTTGTGGCATCACGTTGCTCTCCAGCACTTATTTTTTGTACCAGTGCACGCTGATTCCAAAACATTATGCCCGTATCATTCAACATATTTACAAAATGAACGCACAGAGAAGCAATTCTTATCCCCTATGTGAAGAGCATCATGTAAGCTGGCCTCCACACTCTCATTTTCTGATCAACCCCTGCTTCGATTTAGGCACACTGCTGTTCTTTATAACTATCCGTCTGTTACATCAGTGCCTCTTACAAAGGGTTCAACTGTATAACCGACTAAAGTTGTAGAGCAAGATTGTATGTTATTAAGTGTAGCATGTGGTATTCATTTAGAAACTACATTTCTGATAGTTGGTTAGGAACCAAGTTTACCAACCGATGGAGGCGGAAATGTTGTAGGCCCGTGTGCTCAGATTTGGGTGCACGTTAAAGAACCCCAGGTGGTCGAAATTTCTGGAGCCCTCCACTACGGCGTCTCTCATAATCATATAGTGGTTTTGGGACGTTAAACCCCACATATCAATCAATCAAACCAAGTTTACCAAGCAAAAGATCTCGATGCTGTAATTATTAGACCACGAATAGATGCCACAGCAAAATGAAGTGTTCTTACGAATTTCCCTCATGCAAGGTAGTGCATTAGCAACGTCACACTGGAAAAATTGACTTGCAAAAATTTATGCTTCCATATTTTCTGGCTAACCGTGGACTTAGAAGTTACTAGATATGTTTGTTGTTTAAATTCTCTGCATATTTCTAGTCGTATTGTGGTGGATATTAATTCAGCACTAATGTGAGGCAGTAAATTAACTTTATATTGATAAATTGTTCTTTCAAAAGTCTATTGCCATCAATTTTGGAATTTTAGGTTCAACACTAAGGTAATCTGAAGGTCAATGATTCATTATTAAATGTCGTGCTGACGATTCAGCACATCGATGTCAGGATGGCATCACACATGAAGTTTTTCTTTCTTAAGTCACACTGGTTATTAAAATTTCTTGGCACTTGCTATACAAAGTGTCTACTTCCCTTAGAGAACACTGTACAGTCAAACCTGGCTATATGAAAGTTAGGCAAATCGAATGATACTTTTATTGAATCACTTTTGATCACTGCAATGTTTTGACGTAAATGCACAAAAAAATCTACCATCACATCAAACAAAAATAGCTAGAACACTTGACATAACGAACATTTTGCCATGGAGAACTTGGTAAGAAGCTGGCTTTCCCTTGCAAACCTCTGGCTTCTCGTCTCTGAACAGTATTTCCCTGTATACATTTGGGAGATAGAGCGGTGGGATCAGGAAAATGCCGTGCAGGGCGAGTAGAAAATGCCGCATGCCGTCACATGCTTTCTCCCACAATGCCTTGCCGTTGCGCTATCAGCCCCTTGTGTGGTCACTGTCGCCACTCCGTTAGTTTTGTTAATGGAATGGATGCCATGAAGGAGCAGAACCTGCTGTTCACCGAAAGGTTCCCGATAATACAGTCGATCTTGCCGAAAAGAACCCAGGTGAAAATTTGTAACTGAGAATTCAACTGGTCCCAGCTCAACTGGTTTGAGGAACACATTTCCAGTTGGGAATGCATTCCCAGTTGGCAACTGGGACCAGTTGCCTACTAGGGTCCAGTTGGGAATGGATTCCCGAATTGACAACTGAGGTCAGTTGCTAATTCCCAGTTGGCTGCTGGGACTACTTGGGAATGCATTCCCAATTGCGAATTGAAATATTCTCAGTTAGGGGAACAGGCCCCATTCCCCATTGGTGCTCAAATATACATGCGCTCCAGCTAGTTGAAATAATCTTGAACGTGGAAATAATTATCATTCTGAGAACATCAAACACTCCAAAAGACTCAATGTTGAGTGTAGAAGACTATCCTGATTTATTAGTATTACAAAAAAAATGGCACATCGTGTCGACTGCTGTTGCAGCTGACTTGAACCAGCACTGTGGTTTCACATGCAGTGTAAAGCTTGCTCTGCTCGGCTTTCACGTCCTGAAGTTTTGTGCTGCAGCTGATGCATCTGTGTTATTCACCCATGACCAAATGGGGAGCGTAGCTGTAAAATAAGTGGTAATATGTTACATGCATGTCTCAGAAAAGCCATACAAAATAAATATACACAGCAGACCAACCGTCCAAAAAATTGCAGTATGCTATCTGCACATATCATGCCCGATCTGATTCGATTTCGTTCAAGTATGTTACCTCAGCAGCAGAAACAAAACAAAGAAACTATGAGCAGTATGGCAAAAGCATTTTTATTTTTGCTCGAACTCTGATGCCTACACACATGCGACAGGTACGAAATACTCACTTGCAGAGCAAATACGGCTATCTATTGCGCGCTTTTCTTGTCATGGACAGAGCTGCGTATACTTGTTATTTATCAAGTCGTTCAATATACAAGTGTTGCCCGGAACTTGTTTTCTGCAATACTTTAATTAAGACAGTTTAATTAAGACAGACACTGCGCACAAGCCCATACACAAACCTATAGCAGTGCCGAAAGCATTTGTTTACTCTGAAACCTTCTATCGTCTGAGCACTCGAAACATTCTGCGCTGCATTATATATCTACATCTTCTCTAGGATACTAGACAACTAACTAGCACTCTAAACATATAAGTGATGTAATTACCTTCAAATGGCTGCATCGTTGACAAGGCAGGCAGCTTAGCATTCCTCACTCATTGGATCCATATATTCATTTTGTCACAGGAGAAAATGTCTTGTCTGGACTTCACCTGAAGTTAAAATCTTCTGGAAATGTAACTGTTGAACACTTATTCAATAACATCTAATTTACACACTCCGTGACTCCACGATCCTTTTAAAAACGGCACAACTCGGCAGCATGCCCAGCGCTTGGTACCTAGCCCTCGCCACATGTGCGGTATGCAAGTAACGTCGCGCCGTGTTCCGAAATTCTCTATATTCGTTATCCAGTTTTTTTGTGCATTAAATATTGTGTAATTAAAACAAAATAACTCATTTCAGTTTATTTTATTCATAATAATTTTGTTTGACTACTTTTTACTGCTTAAACATTCAATGTTTGAGCGTATGAGATGCGAAACTAATGTGATGTCCTGTTGTGATGGAGCGGGTGTGTTTCTGGGGACCGTGTTTGTGTTCGGCAGCAGGTCAGCTCAGTGTCAGCTGTAGCAATGCCTCCTAGAAAAAAACTCTGCCTGGAATGTGAGCTGCAAATGGGCTGCTCTGTATGAGCTTTTGAATACACGTTTGACCCCACAAACGCTGACAGCACGCTCGCAGTAGCTCGCTCACCGCAAAAGAGTTTTGCAGGACTTGAGAGCCGCACTGCTACTCTTTCGTATTTTTCGAGGGTGGACCGCAAGCGCAAACAGCGGTTCGAGTTACGATTGATGCATGCTCAGTGGCAGTGACTGCGCCGCAAAAACTTCCGGCAGGCTATTCGAAAACTCCCTAATTTTAACAACCCGGGATCCATTGGGTCGCGATGGACGTAAAATACTGACGACAGCTATTTAATATTAGTTGAATGTATTGAACGTAGTTGAATGTTTGAGTGAATTGTACACAGTGTACTTGCACAACGGAATAATTCGTCATATTAAATATATATCAAGTCAGGTGAAACTATTTCTATTATTGTAGCATCATCATCATAGCCATTCACCATCATCATCGTTTCATAGCCACCGCACCTCTCCTGCAGCTCATGCAAAGCTCGAACTGCGTGAGGAGAGAACGGGCCCACGCGCCTGGCGTGTCGGATGCTGGCAGCCGTCGCGACTTTGCTTCAGCGCCTATGAATAAAGCGGCGAGTTTGGCACGGGCCCCCTCGGCCGCCTTCACGACGTCGTCTCACGTCTCTCTACTCTGCTTCCCTACAATTATTATAAGCGAAGTCGATGTCGTCTGAACGAGGAAAGATAGCTACTTCCAGTTTAACTGGCCATCCTATAGCTGGTCAGTTGAGTTGTAACTGGGACTAAATGCTAACTAAAATGAGTTGCAACTGGAATCAACTGGGAACAGTTAGTTTCCAACTGGTACCAGTTGCTAACTGGAACCAGTTTGAACTGGAATTAACTGGGACCAGTTAGTTCCCATCTGGGACCACACCAGTTAAAACCAGTTGCACATTTTCACCTGGGAAGCTTCACGTTGCTACCGCATAGAGAATCCTAAAAGGCACTTGGTATCGTTCGTATTGAAGAACAATGTCATTATCAGGGCCAAGGCAGACTATGTGCTTCGGGCACCTGACAAATACACAGAAGTGGGTACAGGAATTTCGAGGCACTATTTACATCATGCCATATTTTCTTGGGTACTACCTACCTTTGTATGTAATGCCATATGCCCATTTACAAACCATGGAAAAATGCAAAATTAAAGAAAAAGAAGCTTAAAGTTGGGAAGTCTTTTTTCTTCCGCTATCATGAGGCACCACCATGAAACCAGTTTGCACACTGAAATTCACATCGCAAATGCAATAATTTCATTAAAAGTTCTAAATCATGTGATCCGATGTACGTATTGAACTAATTCTCGCTTTTTTGCGAGTTTGGTACATGTGGGTTCAACCGTAATTCATGTTCACAGATACTTTCATGCTTCATGGTTCAACGACAAAAGTGTTTACAGATTTAGCTGGTTTTATACTGGCTACCTTTATGATAACTTGTCGTGATGCTTTGCTGATGTTACTTTAAAAAAAAGCTGTCATGGTTCTAAATGACTATCCTATTGTGTGCTGCATTGCAGTGTGGTTGTGTGCAACCTGTACCCCTTTGTGGAGGCCATCTCAAAGCCCAACACCTCTGTAGCTGAAGCTGTGGAGCAAGTGGACATTGGTATGTATGTCGGGCAAGGAAGGCTTATGCTCGCTGTATATTTTGCAATCATAACCCACTATGCTTACAACTTCCTTGAATGCATACAACACTATCCTGCTCTTTATGGTAATCTAACAAAATTGTTTGCAACAAAACAAAGTTTCAGAAACTGTTTTTAAGTTTTCTCTGTTCAGCTTGTAGTCGATATTTCTTCCAAATCAGGGGCGTAACCAGGGCACACCGGCATGTGCCCGCACACCCGGCATGTGCCCCTCTCCCATTTTTTTTTCACCATCGCATAGAGAGTGAAAAATGGCTATCCTAAAGGGGTGCCCTTTCCAAAATCAAAAATGGTGTCCCCCCCTCCCCCTAAAAAACAATTTCTGGCAACGTGCCTCTTCCAAATAGTCAATTGTTAGGCTAGTTGGTTCAACATCTGGCATATGGTAGCGCGGAATCGGTTGGGAAGAAAGAACACACGATAGAGACGACCTGCACTTGCAATTGTGTTTATTTGGAAAAAACATTACACTGGGAAAGCTTATGCGCAAGCGCAATCATGACAGACGCTGTCAGAAAAATACTGCCAAATTGCTGGGACATGTGGCGTCCACCTATATAGGTAGTTTGAAGCGGAGGCACATTTATTGAGTTTGAACATTCAACTGCTGTGATGAAGTTTGATTCTTTCGTCGTCAAGTGCATTGATGCGCTGCCTGCTGCAATATCTGGAAGCAGTGTGCCTTCGGTGCATTTGACGATGGAGGGAGAGAGATAAGAAAAACGAAAGGGGTCAACCAGGCCTTCATTTACTTTACTGCCTTACGCCAGGAAAGGAGCTGACAGGGGATAAAATTAAAAAAAAAACAAAAACAAAGGAGTAGTACTCCATCTAAGCGGTGCACATTGACAGCCCTTCAGTGACCACAACAAAGTGTTCAGTTACACCTGCAAAAGATGTAACTTTTGGGAACCTCACATCTGTTCCCTTTCTCATGTCAAGCTCAGCAGCCCATCTCTACAGATCTAAGTTAATGGAGGAGACGCTACAGATGAGGGCAGCTTTTAATTACCACTCAGGGGAATTATGAGATGTGTACTTTAATTAAGTTATTATATTCATGGCAAGGTAATGTTAAAGCTTCATTATTAAAATATAAGAAACAAAAAGTGATTTTGCATCAATTAATTTTTTAGGTGGTGTCACTCTTCTGAGGGCTGCTGCGAAAAACCACGAGCGTGTTACGATCATCTGTGACCCTGCTGACTACGACGTGTAAGTCTTGTGGTTGGATACACACATTTGTTTGGCGAATGCATTCTTAGTCGTGCTATGTCAGGGAGTCTGTCGGGATCCGTCCAGTTGCGCTCTCCCATAGCAACAGCTGCGGGCGTAGTGCTTATCCTCGCCCCTAGCAACCGGACCATGTGGTGCGAAGAGTGTAGGATAGGGAAGGTGCAGTGCTTCACCGTTCACTCTCTCTCCTCCCTGCGCCCCACTTTCCCGCCTGCTCCTGCCTCACTCTCTACCGTTTGCTGGCTGGGCACCTCTCAAGAACACCAGAAGAAATGTGTGCTCAAGACGCCGCTGTGAAATGCCGACTCCGACCAGAGAACGCTGTTTTGTTCACTTCATAGTATTTTTAACCGTGCACGCTAGCTACTTTAGCTGGGAATGCATACCACGTTTCTCATGACAGAAAAACTACATGTGCGACGAATGGCGCTATTGGCTTCACGGTGGAAGAAAAAAAAAGAGAACATCATTCTTTTAACGCTGGGTTTTCACATGCGAAACGCCGTTATGAACTCTACGCAATGCATTCGCATTTCCTCGCGATTGCCTTCGGGGAGGTGGGGGCATTTTTTTGTTGGGCTGTCATGCGCGTATAATTCTTTTTTTTTGTAAGGTTAGTATGCAAGTTACCTCAATTTGGAGCTTGTTTTCTTTGCTTAGGAGATCTTACATGAGTTGTGTAAACACCAAAATAGCCTTTTTTGAAATTTTCACAGTAGAGAAAAAAAAGCAGTTTTCTATGCAAAACTTGTTTGGGAAATACTAGGAAGGAGGATGGGTTGCAATTAGCAATATTCAGACATATTTTGACCTGTATTAAAACCTGCTTTCTTTTACTGGCTGGTTTTTTTAATGGATGTACCATAATTTTCTCTATGTAAAATGTAGAAATTTAAATTTTTTACAAATCATAACAATAAACTAATTTTGTTACAAGAAAATCTGAGTTATAATAGTGCTGCTATTAACAGAGTACTGTATGTATAAAAGAATACAAATCTTTGTTCAAGACTTCCTCGGGCTTTCTCACCAGTTGTCCTTTACCTTGCAAGCACGTTTCTTGAAACTTGTGAATACTTCTTCATGTTTATGTAAATCTTGCTTAGTAGATCAGACACTGGCTAACTGTAGTGACATTGCTGTTCTACAAAGCGTAAAGTAGCATTTTATTTCCAGCTTCGATACTTATGTATTCTAAGGGCAGTATATAAAAATCCTTGCATACTTAAGTGCTTGTTAAAAAATGACTGGTCGTCAAAGATGACTCGGAGCCCTCCACTGCTACGGAATACCTCGTCACACCCGGCGCACTGTCAGAAAGTGTCTTTAGATCGGGAAGTTCAGCGCACCATCTATGTTTAGCGTGGCCCTTGCTTATTCCCAGGGTTGCCCAGGAGTTGCTGTCCTCGCCGACTCGCCAAACAAGTCTGGAGACGAGGAGGCGGCTGGCCTGTGAAGGTGTGCATAACCTTGTTTTGTGATACACAAGCCGGTCTACTGAAGAAATCCTCTGGAGTGATGACACTCTGGTCTTTGATTTAATTTAGGACTCTCCGTAGAAGCTGGTCCAGTATGAAATGATCCATGCACGAGTCCTAAGCATCAGCCGGCACATCAGTTGTTTTCTGAGAGTTTTCTGATCATAAGGACAACGTGCATATGCTATTTGATGAACGCTTGATGCAAGTTTCTTCAACCTGTCAATGCCATCGTGTGATGCATAGACAGATTGGGGAACATGTTAAACCCTCTTTCAAGAATTTCGCAGTTTGTGTGTAATAAATGCACACATAGAATGCCATACACAAACATGCATTTCTTGTTTAAATATTTCATTAACTATCCAGTCTTTCATGTCTCAGGTGGCTCTTTAGAGCTGTTGGTAAAAATTAACTCTACCAACTGCATTATGGCGTTCTTGTGGACAGGTCACTGCTTTTGCTTGTGCATCAGTGTTTTTAATACGTAATAAGCCTCGCGTGTTGTGTGCAGGCATTCCTCCACACAGCCCAGTACGATGCAGCCATCTCGGACTACTTCAGAAAACAGTACCTGACTGGTGTGGCTTGCCTGCCACTTCGCTACGGCACCAACCCACACCAGGTTCCTGCCCAGCTCTGCACCAATCTGCCGAGGCTGCCAATCACTGGTATGAATACAAGCATTGAAGAAACCAAAGAGACCGATTTTTTTTTTTCTAGTATGACACAGCAGTAGCAATCCTGCACGCTATTACGTGAATGAAAATGTAGTGGAAGTTTCACTCGGATTTAGCATTCTATCAGGCATGTAGTTTCTTATCTTACAACCGTAAAATCTCGAGCAGATGCCTCTACCCAAGCAAATGCCCCCCTCCCTTCTTCGGGAGATTTCAAGTCTCGTTCTCGCCCCGCACCGTTTTCTCTGTTTCGTTTTTTTTATTCAACCGACAATGGCGAATGAAAATGGTGAGTGCAAAGCATTTAATTAGAAGTGCGGGCGCACATTTTTAAATTCTTAGCAGTTCGTCTACCATTATCTTAAATTTTTATTCATGACTGAGCGAGGCCTCCCCCCACCCCCTCCAACTCTTGTCGAATTATCCTTCACCGATAGAGGGGGTGAGGGGGCACTTGTTAGGGATTTTATGGTAGCATAGTCTAGTGAGCCTATCTTTTCGCAATTTTTATTTTATGAGTAGCGTAAAGTGAGACATGACCGGATGACAGCAGGACTAAGATTTGCAAAAGAGTTATTTCTTTCTTGCTTTGTTTGTACTATTTTAACAAAAAAAAAAGCAAATGCTTTTCGTGTTAGCCTTTGCACCTGGATGTCTTAATACAAACTCTGGGTTTTTTACACATCACTCACTAGATGCAGGGTTGGAATGAGTGAATTTCTATTCTTGTGCAAACTTTTCTGTCCTTTCTATCTTCGTAGAAACTTTTCTGTACTTTTTATTCTTATGCAAACTTTTCTATCCTTGTCATAGTTGTCTTCCATGTCAAGTTAATGTTACTTAGCTACAACTTACTACCAGTTTCTTTCAGAGGATAATTTCGTGTAGCTAATGAAAAGAAGGTGCAGAATCCATGCTTTGAGAAAGCGGGGTGTACAACTTTATCGAAAGATGATCGAAAGATCAAAACTTGACTGAACGATCGAAACAATAGAAAAATCGAAGCTTGGCATGGAAGCTTGGCATGGAAGCATGGAATCGAAGCTGAAATGCATGGAAACTGCTTTGCATAAGCGAAGGGTATTCCAGCATGAGGTGGACTCAAGCGAATGAAGGAAAATTGGTCAACTGTATAGTTTCGTTGAAGATTAAACTTGGGGGATAATTCTTATATACTTGATTAGTATAAAATAGAAATGAAAAGGGAAATTAAAAAGAGGAGACAAATCTGTGATAGTGTAAGCTGAACTCTGAACCTCTGCACGATCCCCACAGGGCTTCTTGAATGGAACTACTATGACAATGACTGTTTCTTCCTGTTCACTAGGGTATTTATTTATTCGTATAAACTCACTGTCAAATCCACTTGTAATAATACCTGTTTTAGTAATATATCGTTTGTAAGAATGAGAAACTGCTACACCGTCAACTTTTGCATGTTTTCTATGTCGAAATAAGCCACTTGCAGCAATGCCCGCATGCCGCATAATCTGTCATAAGAATGTATTCTGGATGTTGGCTGTCCGAGCTGAAAGGTAATGAAACGTGAAATTTATGAAAAAAAAACTAAAAATTTAAGCTGCCGAAACTCAGCCCATAACCTTAAGATACCCCAGTGCCCCTTCTGATTTTTGGTTTGCTGCACCGCATAGCGATTCGGAATTGCGGCAAAGCTAACTTTTGTGGCTTCCATTAAAATTTGCAAGTCGAATAAAAAATTGAAACTTCGAAAAGTTTCAGTGCCAAAACTTCAAAGGTTCTCATACGATGGTCTTATAAAGCTTCTGACGGTCTTGTGAAGGCATCCAAATTTTCGAACATGTCTGAAAAATTGGTAGCTTCATCATCTCTGTCGCTGATGCCTGTTGGCATACCCCATCCAATGTTATAGTTTTCTTCCAACAGCCTGAAAGCTTCCTATTTTGCTTTTTTTGTGTGTAACCAGTACATATCAATTATCAGCGAAATTAGGTATAACAGCGAAGTTTTCGTGGCACTTGAGTATTGTTATAAGTGGGTGCAACTGTAGTTAAAATTGAGTATGAGGGTTATACGTTCAGTTCTAGCTGGCAGCAAAGTTATATTTTTACTAACATTTGTCTCAATTTTGCCTTGTGTCACACACAAAAGCTGTCGGCTCACTTTCGTCTTTCCCATGTACTTTTAGTAAACCCCAATATGTTTTCAAATTAAACCATAAACCAGTTTTAAGATGTTATGACTACTATATAGTAGACTAAAATTGATAAATGCTTTGTATAATATGTCAATACTTTATTTAGCTTGTGTTTCTCAGCAATTTGTAATTGATATCAAATATAGTTAAGCCCTTTTATTTCATAGCTCTTTAAGAAACAATGGAAAATATCATATTTAAGAACTGTATAAATGAATATAAAAATTTTTTGAGTAAGAAATGATAGCCGGAAAACACCCAATGCACAAAACTGTGGCATCCTCGTTCTTCTCAAATACCATGTACAGTCGACTCCCGTTAATACGAAGTTCACGGGAACCGCAAAAAACTTCGAATTAAACGAACTTCAAATTAAGCAAAAAGCACTAAAAACGGCACTTTTATTAGTTTAAAAGCGCGACAGTTTTGAGGAAAAATAGTCTGTCATCTTCTTCTGCTTGCCGAATCTGGCTGCGGCTAGCAAGTTTTGTAAGGAATACAGGTGTCGAAGTGATTCTTCGGCGTTGTGTTCTCCAACAAAAAACCGCTGCGCAAGAGCAAGACCCGCAGCTCCATCGGCAGCCCTCGGTGGTGGCTCATTTCCGATGTCGTCGTCATCGTCATTTTCAGGAATGCAGTCATGGGGCCGAACCATCTGCACGATTTCGCTGTCCGTTAGTGGACCGCATGTTGCGACGTTGCTGTCCACAGCGACATACTCGTCAAAACGGACGCCACCGAGAGCGGCGCGAAAGCTACCGTCGTCGAGCTCATTTATTTGCACTTCCACTGGCGCACAAGGAGAAGCATCCCCCGAGTTTTCCATGAAACCACAGGCCTGGAAACAATTGGCGATGGTTTCTTCTTTCACGCGGGTCCAAGCTCGCGCTAGCATGTTGATGGCACTAAGCAAACTCACCTCGTATTGCGACGAGTTGTCCATGCACAAAAGCATGCGCTCGACGAGATGCTGCCTATACAATACCTTCACATTTTTTATTATGCTCTGGTCCATGGGCTGCAACACGGACGTCGTGTTTGCAGGCAGGTACACAAGACGGATGGCACTCAAGGCAGGTACCTTCATGTGGGCACTACATTGGTCCACAAGAAACAACACCTTACGGCTTGATTACGCGAACTTGCGATCGAGTTTGGTGATCCAGTCCTTAAATATATCGGATGTCATCCACGCCTTTCTGTTCGAGGCATAATCCACAGGAAGTGTCTTCACGCCTTTAAAGCACCTAGGCTTGGCAGCCTTCCCGATCACAAGCAGGAGACACCATTCTGTGCCAGTCATGTTCGCCGCGACTAGCACTGACACTCTCTCTTTGCTTCTTTTGCCTCCAGAACAGTCGTCGTCTTTAAATGTCAGGGTCTTGTCCGGTAGCAGCCGATAAAAAAGCGCAGTCTCGTCTGCATTAAAAATGTCTGCCGGCTGGTATTCTTCGAGGTACTCGCGAAGCTTGCCCGCTTTCTATGTCAGGCACATTTCCTCATTGACTGACGCCTTCTCCCCACACACACTTTTAAAAATCAAGTCGTGGCGATGTTTGAAAGGCGTAAGCCACCCATCCGAAGCAGCGAAGTCGTTGATGCCCTACATTTCAGCAAGCGATGACGCTTTTGCCGTGACGACTTCACCACTGAGAGGAAGTTTGTTGTTTCGTGCCTCTCTGATCCAAATCAGCAGTGCTTCCTCCAACTCGGGGTAGGCGCCGGTGCGCATCCGCTTCCGCGATGTCTTGAATTTTTCACTTTCAAACGCATCCAATATTGAGCGCTTATTCTTTATGAAAGTCGACAGCGTGTTAGGCTTAATGCCGTACTTTCTTGCAATGTCTTGTTTGGCGGTGCCTCCCTGGTCAACTTCCTTCAAGACTTCGACTTTCGTCGCTAGGTCTAGCGTTCGGTAAGGGCCACGAGTTGCCATTATCAAACGTACGTCACCACCACAACACTCAAAATCAGAAGCGCGGAAACACGTGTGGAATCAACCCAGTGCGTGGGTGACGCGGTGACACACTCGAGTCTCGACAAAAGTCAACTAAAGAGTCAGTCGATGCCGCCGATGTGATTCTCCAGCGTTAAAAAGATTGCCGCTTCAAGATCTGTGGCGCTGCGGACAGTAGTGATGGTGAAGACACCAGCGCGGTCCGGCAGATGTTTTTGCATATGAAAAGTTCCCCATTTTACTGTAAAATTACGGTCGCGACGAAACTGTCGATTGAAAAAACTTCTAATTAACCAATATTATGGGTTTTTAGCTTCAAATTATCGAGCATTTTTTTCTATACGATTGCATGGAAAACTGATGGGACCACTTGTTCATTTCTAATTAACCGAAACTTCCAATTAAGCGACTTCGAATTACCGGGAGTCGACTGTACATCTATGTACTGCAGAATTTATCTGGCACAGCCAGATAAAAAGAAGTACATGGTGGAGTACTTATATTTAGTGTGCCATAGAATACTTAATTTTATATTTACTATTTACTGAAATTTTTCAATATATTTTATAATGTAATTTTATATGTGATAAATATTTAATGGACAACTCATGCACACAGGAAAGTAATAGTCATATATATAAGCTTGCAAATATAATGTTCACATGCAAGATCACTAGTACTGTAAGTGCATGCCGGATGCATTCTGAATATTCACATTCTTTTAACAAACTCAACCATTTTATTTTTTATTTATTTTGTAACGAGGGTAGTGGGCACGGAGCTCGAGGATAGAAAAAGAAGACTTGCTGTGACACAGGCTTGCGTTCAGTTAGCCCTTGCGCTAAATAAAGCTCTCCT